AATTTTATAAATTTAATTTATTTAATTTTATTTATTTATTTATTTATTTATTTATTTATTTATTTATTTATTTATTTATTTATTTATTTATTTATTTATTTATTTATAAAACTTTTATTTAATTTTATAAATTTTATTTATTCAATTTTTATTTATTTACAGGTGCCCAGATGAAAACCATGCATAATTTAAGACTGATGTGTGTTGATGTGTTGGATCTTTGTCGACACAAAACTCTTATTGTGGGGTAAGTTTTCTCTCAGGTCACAGGTCAAACTGCATCAAATAACACTTAGGTCACAGGCCAAACTACATCCAATAGCACCTGGGTCACAAGTAAAACTGCATCCAATATCACTTGGGTCACAGGTCAAACTGCATTCAATATCACATGGGTCACAGGTCAAACTGCATTCAATATCACATGGGTCACAGGTCAAACTGCACCCAATAATGCTTGGGTCACAGGTCAAACTGCATCCAATAATGCTTGTGTCACAGGTCAAACTGCATCCAATAACACTTGGGTCATATGTCAAACTGCATCCAATAACACTTGGGTCATAGATCAAACTGCATCCAATAACACTTAGGTCACAGGCCAAACTGAATCCAATAGCACCTGGGTCACAAGTAAAACTGCATCCAATAACACTTGGGTCACAAGTAAAACTGCATCCAATAACACTTGGGTCATAGGTCAAACTGCATCCAATAACACTTGGGTCATAGGGTCAAACTGTATCAAATAACACTTAGGTCACAGGCCAAACTGAATCCAATAGCACCTGGGTCACAAGTAAATCTGCATCCAATATCACTCGGGTGAGAGGTCAAACTGCATCCAATATCACATGGGTCACAAGTCTAACTGCTTCTAAAAGTACACAATCACAGGTCAAATTGTATCATTTGGGTAAGAGGTCAAATTACTGTCAAACTACTGGAGAAAATTTATAATATATCATCTCTCTGTAGGAATTCCATCGTCCCATCACCACAGCGACTACAAACCGCTATGTCACTGTATTCTAATTCAATAAGTGGTCTAGTACTTTTGGTTGATGACAGAATAAATTCATATACTGGAATTAAACTAGGTAAATAATTCTTTTTACATTCATTGGATATTTACTTTTTAGAATTGATTGGTAGATAAACACGCTGTTTCTCTCTGCAATATGCTATTTTTTCACAGGAAATTTACATTGTGTATATATATAAGCACATGTAGTTGTATATAACAAACAAAGAAAACGCTTTGTACTATGGCTACTCTTTCTTTCATTCACTACCTTAGCTGGGGGCCAATTTTAATTGAAGGATGACAAAATCTAGGAATAATTAGGCTGCTAATAGTGCTGACTGAAATGATGATCTAAACAGTAAACTCTGTATTGTTCTTCAGGGTATTATCCAAACCACTTCATGTACATGTATATATGACAAATTAAGTCCCAAATAATGTTTTGCTTTTCATCCTGGGGAAAATTGAAAAATTTGTTTTTGATTCTAAGATTTTTCTGATGTCACAGCAACATATTTGTTCAGCATTTAACATTTATTAAATAATCTTTTGAATACATGCATTAAAAACATCCTCTGAAACTGAAAAAAAACAACATTTCCCCCCAAAAACAAAAAAAAATGTGTGCAGAGGCAGTGGTATCAAACTGATGCATGCATGCATTAATGATAATTTATTTTTGGTCTTACCAATGTATTTCTTTATATTTGCACAGATTTTGCTGGTGTTTGTCAGCTTTCGACTGATTTTCATTTTCCCGATCTTGACACGCAACTTCGAGTTATACAACAACATGTATTAGAGGCAAATAAAAACAGGACAAAGAAAGATATTCAAGGTAAAGTCAGCGTCAAAATATGCTAACCTGTAAATCACATTCCCACATGTACATTAATTGTAACACTGTTATAAATTACAAATGAAATCAATTCTTCAATATATACATTTTAGATATTACTGACTTAACTACATGTATTGGCCAAGGCCAAGGTGAATATCAAAAGTTATGCATGTAATACTGTGCAATCAATGGTGTGTTCTCATTGGCTAATTTGTACCTGAACATGCAGCCCTGTTACATACCATATGAGCAGTTCTTGAGGTCAATTGAATAGGTTGATACATTTTTTTGACAACACCAAATAGTAATGAAATGCTAGAGGCAAGTAATAACATTTCCTGGAGTGATTTTGTGGTGCGCCTCATTTTTCATTACACTGCTATATGATGTCACAACTGGGGCATTTTGGGAAGTTTATATCACTCCTATTTGCAGTGTCAGGAAGTTTGGGCAAAAAATAGTGAGAGGCGAAATCAATAGCTGAAAAAGGTCTAGGGTCATGGCTACATCGCTTAGGGAAACTTGAGGCAGCAATGCAAATACGAATGCAAAAATTAATATTTATTAATGATCACATGATGTATTGACCAATCAATGTGGTACAGTATATATGAGTGATTATATTCAAATTTTTTTCAGCATCTGGAAGTGATGGTGAAAACACAGAGGCAAGCAAAGTGGAGTCTGTCACAGATATGGCAGTATCACCAAACTTACAAGCTGGTAAGGAACAATGTTTACATCAAAGCACCCAGTAGTTGTCTTGTTTGATATGGGTCCCATGCATCGTATACAACACATGAACAATTGTTTGTTTACATAAATTTTAATTTGTGGTGTTTTTAATATCAATGGGATTGTATACCAACCTAGCCCCCAGACCCTTATACTAACCTGCCTTTGATTATACAGGAAAATCATTTTTACCTTGCCCATACCATCAAAGATGGAAGGGAAAGGTATATTAAGGGAAACATTTTGTCCGGCGTTGTCGTCGTCGTCGTCGTCGTCGTCGTTAATAATTGTTATTGTGTGCATAATAACTTTACTAATTCTATTCCAAACTGTATCAAACTTGGTCACCTTATTCATCAGTATAAAGTCTTCCCTGAGTTTGAACAACAGATGTCCTGTATGAAAATATCATGCAAAAATTGAGAAAATCTGATAAAATATTTTGACTGTTTCTACTTGACTGATCACTGGTGATACACATCAAAGGTCACTGATCTCAGTGAAAAAATGCATTGTTGTATGTGTTCAATGAAGCAAATGATTTATCTTGTAATAATATCCTTGGTAATGTATCTCAGAATCCCATACTGGGTTTCAAAACCAACTCATGGAGAGATTGCACAGTCTGATACACATTTGCAAACCTACCAATAAAATCTTTACAGAAAACAAGATGTCAGAAAATCAATATAAGCACTCCTATGAACTGGGTGCCTAACTTTGATCAAGATCTGAAGCTAATAGAAAATCTGTTTAGTTCAAAGTTTTCAAATCAAAAACAA